TTCCCTACCCAACTATCTTCCCATCTATCCTTCTGCCAATTCATCCATTCTTATCATATTTTAATTGACTTCAGTTAGCGGATGGTTGGTAATGTCACCAGCTGCAATGATAACTGTTGGCAAATGTAATTATCCGTACCAAATTAACATCCGTGAGTTCGGCCAAAATACAGAATCAAACTCCAAGCTGTTGTCTGTCTAGCGTCTGTTAAAACTGTTACACCGCCAACCTCGAAAAAAAACGTTTGATTGTTATGGTTTTGTATAATACATTTTGTAAGCCTTTAAAATGAATTATTCACTCCCCTATAGACGTATTCCATAAGCATGACATTATTTCACTTTAAAGTCTGTAGGCCAGGAGTCATTGTCCTGATTTTAAGCAAACATGTGCACCCCTTTCAGGAAAATACATGATGTTTCATGAATGATGAATACACTAACATGCTGATGTTAAGCAACTATACATTTTACCTTTTTATCTATCTTAAAATAGCAACTGAGGCTGATGTGATGGCATATGTTTTGCAGGTATTTGGGTATAATCCGCTGGACTAGTTTGATTTAAAAGTTGCTATTCATGAATGAAGCCTGTGGCCATAAAGTACCCGCACGTATTTTACTGACGCAACAAAGACATCAAGCTAAAAACAGAACAAAGCAGAAAAAAGGAAAGAGGGAAGATGAAAAGACCTGAGTGGAGGGAGGCAGAACTGAGGAGAGGAAAAAGCCGAGCTAATCAGAACAAAACTCGAGTGTTCTCCGAGCTCAACCCTGCTCTGCTCAGCTCTGCCCATGCGGATATTAAATTGGCTCTCAGCTGTCTGTGATCTGAAGAAGGCTGGACTGTTTAAAGGTCTTGATATAACATTTCCTCTTTGTCCTTGTTTCTGCTTTCTTTTATCGAAGAACAAGTAAGCCCTGCTTTGTTTTAAAGCTTCCACTCCCTGGCGAGTTTGTTTTTGGAACAAAATTGAGGAGAGACAGATGAAATCAATTACAGAGTGGAGAGGTGCTCGATGGCACTCCTGATGCTAGAAAAGTATTATCACGTTATGCTTAAAGGGGCCCTATTTTACTCATTTTCAGGTTGAAATTTGTATTTTGTTCCTGTGACATGATTACTTGCTTTATTGTTCGAAAAGGTCTTTATTTTTCTCATACTGCCTGTGTGGCCAGTGTTTTTATGATTGTTCAACTGCTTAGAGATGTCCCGCCCCTTAGCCTATCACGCACAATGTGTTGGAGAGCTAGCCAATACAAGCGTGAGTATTACATAGCAATGTCCAACGGAGGCGTTTCAGGCACGGGGGGGGGGGGAGTGTGTGGAAGAGAAACTCCCTCTGGAGGGAACTTTGGGATTTTAGCCTTTGCAGACCATTAACATGCATGAAAACCTATAACACACTACAAGAAAGGGAAACCCCTAAAAGCATAATAGGGCCCCTTTAATGTCTTTCGAGGAATTCTCCTTCAGTGCTACGTTAAGCAAATACAAAGTCCTGTCTGCAGCCACACTCCATAGACTACAGTGCAAACATCATCAACTCTCTCTCTTCTTCCTCAATGTCTCGCTCCCTCTCTCGCTCTCTGATCCAGCTGCTCATTTGGCAACGGAGCAAAGAAATAAATGATGTGCTTCAGCGGAAGGAAGGCTTCACTGGGAGAAGGATTGTGGGTAGAGGGAGCGAGATGAGGATTTGGTTAGGAGTTTTAAAGACAGTTTATTTAAATGAGGATCTTTTTTTTTAGCTTAAAACATCAGTGGGACATTAGGCTTAAGGCCGCTACTGTCCAATTACGCTTTCAATGGCTCTCGGTTTAATCTACCGGAGTCCTTGGATGTTATAGATAAATATAAATGTATGACAAATAAAGAACCTTGAACCTTATGTTTTTGTAACTCTATTTAGTTAATAGCTGGGCTTTTGGAAAGGAGTAGGTATTCTTTATAAGCCAGAAAGATAAGTATATATCTGTGAAATAGAAATGAAGGGTCATGTGAAGATAAACCTGAAATGGTGAGACGAAGGAGAATAGCTCCTTTGCTTTCTCATTTAAAATATAAGGAATTGAACTGGCCTGAAGAATAATTTACTTTCTCACTATTGAGCTACTAGCACTCTATTAACATTTGATATGTACCCAACAAGTGATCACAGGACGTTGATTAGGCTTTACTAATTGTTCCTTTGCCTGGAAAGAAATTGCCTTTGTCTACTTTAGGACAACTCCAATGCCTTGAAGGAATAGTTTGACATATTGGCTTTCTTAGAGAAGTAAATGAGAAGATCAATACATCTCTCATGTCAGTCCATTAAATATGAAGCTAGAGCCAGCGGCTGGTTAGCTCAGCTTGGCACACAGATAGTACAAGGAGGAAAGAGCTAGCCTGGCTTTGAGATTTTATCTCAATGCTTTTTATCTGGTTAAATAAAGGTTAAATAAAAATAAAATGTTCAGAAAGCAACAAAATCAGTCGTCCGGAACCTCTTAAACTCACTAATAAACTGGTTGTATTTTATTTGTTTCGATAATAACAAAAAACCAAAGCATAAATACATCAAATTGTAGATTTACAGGAGTTGCCATGAGGGATTATAACTCGGCCAGGAGTAGTAACTTCCTGGAGGCTTGCCATCACAGCTTGTCAACCATTTTCCAAAATGGCAGTGCATTTTAAAACAGAACAGCCCACCTATGGGGATGGTGCGCATTTTGTGCAATTTATTATTTGTGATAGGGGAGACATAATAGAAAACGAGGCAGAAAGAGAGGTGAAATGGTGTGTGGCTAGATTCAAAACCAGCGGCATTGTTGTTAATGATCGGCACCTTAAGCCTTCCTGAGGCACAGGGAGGGCTCGGTGGAATAGTCCTGTTTTAGGTTGAAGCTGAATGGAGCTATGCAAGGAATTTCTCTACAAAATAACAACAATGAAAACAGTCATCTTATTAAGCAGAATACAAAAGAGTAGTATATGGTGGTGGTCATGAGTCTAAAGAAAACAAAAACTGACAAAAAGTTGAAAACAAAACACACACCTTCAGTTACTCAGGGCTGACCTGGTTAGTTCCCATGACAACAAATATCTTCCTATTAGGACTAGCTAGGTGAAAATATATGAACCTGAGGAATCCAAGGTGAAACAAGTTGATCTACAGCGCTAATCATAGTATTCACACAGAGCTGATCCCAACACACTCCAGTCACACACGCCACAGGCTGCGTTTTTGGCTGAAAAAAACTAAACAATTAGTAAATGCTGTCCAAGGTTATTTGTTCCAATTGTAAACTAAATAATCCCGCAGTCACCTTCCCTGCGTTCCCCTGATCTCCAAGTAAAGACAGGATCTCCCCACAAGCTAATACTAGTAGCGATTAGATGCTACTAAATATTTACACTGAGTACTGCCTGATATAGCTAAGTGAACTAACTGACAAAGGTTGATAATATACAGTACCACCCTTAATAAGAGTAAAATAGGTCATATAAAATATATTAAACAGGGGCTGAGCAATGTCGAAGTCTTATCCAATTCCTAACAATATTTCCTTATGCATTGCAGAAAAGCAGGAAGCACAATGTTTATTAAAGGGGGAGTCTGTGCCGCCCCAAAAATCACACTATAATCATTTAATGGTTTTCCATTCAAATGAAAATAATCATGTTAAAAGGATGAATCCCTCAAATATCGCCAATGATATTGCAATTTCAATTTCATTTCATTCAACAGAAGAAAAAAAAATCATAAACACAAAATAATAAACAAAAAACAAACAAACCTGCCTCTGCTCTCTGATAAGCCTCAAGTCAAGCCACAGGTTTTCACAGCAGATGGCCAAAACATATTTCCGCAATATCCCCACACATGAATGAGCTTAACTGCACTGAGATATCTGCAATACTGAAGATGTTTACTTAGACCAGGTGAAACTTGGAAATTGAGAAAAAACAGCGCCCGCTCAAGAGAAACCAGAAGTTGGTCCTTGAATTGAGATTGTTAGTTCAAGTGGGAAACTTTCCTTCAGGATTAATGAAATGCCCAAAATATGAATAGTTTAGTCATTAATTGAATTTAAATTATTAGTTGGCAGATTCACAACCCTAATGCTGTATATAACAACAACCATAAATACGAGTAGGAATTGTTGTCCCACTGAATTCAAATGAAGGGTAAAAAAAGTTCTGTCCAAATATAAAACATGGCCTTAATGTAACATGATGAAACATTGTGTACAATACAGCATCAAAAGGCAAACTGTATGAAACACCAGAGGCCAGTCTGCCCTGGAGAACTAAGTTACATCACAAAGAGGGGTAGCTCCAGTCCACTTGCTCCTATAGCCCTGTATGGCCCTAAAGAGATGATGTGTCATAAATGAGAGCGATGTCAGATTGGATTATGGTTTAGGTACAGAGCTTCTGTGTAAACGCCTGGTTGGGTTAAGCTTCATGATGAAGAAGACCCCTCCTCCTCCTCGTCTTTTACTTCTCCCTCATTTCCCCAGTGTAAGGCTGGCTGTGCACACTTTGCTCATAGTGTGTTGTGACCAGACAATAAGACAAGGGATGCGTGTAGTCCATAGACTTTGAATATTTTCTTTTAATTTGGTGAGAAACTGTGCAAGCAATTTCAAACAGATGTGGTGAGAAAAATGGAAATTGGATTTTAAATCTCTGAATTAAACCGATATTGCATGGCTGAATATTCCCCCCCCAGCATCTGTACGCTGGCTCATTTACAGTAGAGGAGTAGTGCAGGGAGCAGCGGAGCTTAGCATGGCGGGTGGAAAGATGCTGCTAGTTCATCAACTGTGAATGATAACAAAAGGAGATAGTGGACAGTGCATGCGAGAATATTCCCATAATATTCAAAGCTTGAATAAAAACATAAGATTGCAGGATAAATACATGCAGGCTAAAAGGAAACAAAGGAAAAGCGTGGATGCGATGCCGAGTGAAACAATGCATCCCAGAAAGCACATAAAGTACCTACCTTAATGTTGTCAAGAGGACACTTTTATCTGTGCATCTTCTTTACTGGAGCCCACTGATTTCATTCACATCAGCCGAAGAGAAAAAATTAAAATTAAACTGTCAATGAGCATTTTGTTGTCAGGCGTGTTTGTAAAAAAGAAAAAGAAAACACTGAAAGCTCGAGGCTCAGCCCAGCTCGCTATGCTAGTGAGAACTATATTCTTCTTGTTTCCACAGACAGGCTATAATGTCTGTTCTTCATCAGAAAAGACAGCCTCATGTTGTGTAGCATTACGCTAGCCATAAACGGCTAACCCGTAACGATATTTCTACCGCAAACCGGGGAGTGGAGATATGCTATGCTCATGATTTCCCGTCATCTCGCTGTGTTTTGGTGAGGATGGTAAGAAAGCAAAGAAAAAGGATGCTCTCAGTCTGAGGCAGTGAGCAGGTCCCTCGCTCCTGCTTTCTACGGAAGCCCGGATGCGTTCGCTTTTCTTTCTGCTCGTCTGATGGAAAGGAACTTGGTCATTTTTTGACAACCTATTTTTACTCTGAAATCCACACGAAATAAATAATAAGAACATATATATAATTTCTTTAAAAATACATAGGCCTATTTTTTTATTGCATTTCAAACCGGATGTTAGATAGCTAACATTTTTAAATATGCAATTTAAGGATTTTGTTTAGCCTACAATGGAATTGTATCCGTATTTTAAAGGATATTATCCAGATGTTATAGAGTAAGTCATAATGCAAAATAAAAATAATTCAACCGTACATGTATTGTATTGTTTTGTTTGTCTTTTGTGTAAAACCATAATTTAAAGGATTTCTATGACATTTGGATTTGCTTCCCATTTAGTTAATCAAGTTCATTTCTGATCTGCCTTCACTTAGACCCGCCATTAGTCACCCCTGAAGTGGTTCTGAAACAACTGGCATCTCAAAACATATTCACAAATAGGCACTTTATTGCTGTTATAAGAGAGGCATAACAATCATTTTGAGAATGAGTAATGATACACTGATGCTAGGCTGCTTGATTCAATTTCACAGTTTAATCGAGGTTAAAAGCAAATCAACAAATTAACATTATGTTGAATAATAACAGGGGATGTGAGCTAAATTGTTTTCTAAGATGAGTTTCAGTGCACAGCAGCAGATTAATCAGGACAGATGTTGTGGTACTCTGCTCCATCTAGTGGAGGCATGCAAACATTACAGCTCACATTTTAAAGGAGTACAGTACACAGCACTGTTTATGATTAGTGGACACTTGGTTATTCAGTAGCTATAGGACTGATTACAATCAGAAGACAAAAACAAATCAGAAACAAAACATCTTGATTGGACAATTTTATTTTCTCAGTGACATTTATGAAGTCAGAAGGAAGATCTGTTCTTTTGTTATCATACACAATGTCAAAAACAATGACTTTATTTTCTGCTCACCATCACATCAACATAATGCACACACGGTACCAACTACACTCACTGAAAGCCTGGGGGTTGGTACAGGGCCTGGTTCACCAAAGGAATGCTATACTAACATCTCAAATTCATCATCAGGGCAAAGACAATCCTTCTGCTTTGACACCTTTGGGAGGGCAGGCCAAGATATGTTAAGGACAATCCAGTTTCCCAACGTTAAGATTCAGAGGGGGATAATTACAGGAAAGATTTGAGACAATTTCCAATAATCCACGGTCTGTCATCAATCTGAATGGAATGATGCATCAAGAAAATAAAGTGTTACCTAACGAGAACACATTTTTACAAGTCAATGGGAAACAGCTTAACACTGCACAGCTTGCGTGATGTACATGAGAACTTCGGTGAGAGATGTATTGATGGCTTGGTTGTGATGCAGCATGGGTCTTATTTGGTAATTCAAATTGCATTGTACTCCCAAGCAAGACTCAGCTTTGCACACATTAAGCTACTTTAATAAGGAATGTATGATTAGGGAACACGGACTAGAAAAGACATGTTAAGAAAAGACAAAACAAGACCTTTCAATACAAATAAACAAGTGTGAAGGTTTGTAGAATGCAATTTCTGTGTGAAATAAGTATACCTACAAATCTGTAGATGTAAAGTTTGTTATGCCTCCATAGATTTGGGTGCCAGACCTCCTGAGATTACAGAAAATCAAAGTCAGAGAAACTTTCTGTACAAAACATGTCCTCTGAAGACCTCGAGCAAACTGGTGGTCCTCTCTAAAAATGAATTCCTCTTTCCTGGCTAAGATAATAGAAGTTGAATTGGGACATGAGACTCAGATGGCAATTTTTGTTTTGTTAACTTCGCCTTCCCCTAAGTAAAGTTTATGTCTAATTCATCCTTTTAAAAATGACAGAAAAAGGAACCTTATTAAAAACTACCACACTCTGGGGAACAAGGAAGTTATAGCACGCAGATATGTCCAGGAGACTCATGGATCCAAATGAAGACATCTAAGCTCCATAACATTTTGGGGAACTGACTGACAGGATGACATATTTAGAGCAGGGCTGCGGCTTGGCTGTGATCTTACTATATTAAGCCTCTCAGAGCATTCTTCAGTGACCATACTAATGATTTCAGATCACTACTCCAATTCAAAACTTCCGATTCTCTGTCACTTCTACAGCGAGAGACCTGACAAATACTGTATTTGGGCCACTGTGTAGATTAAGGACCACTTGCTTATTATTACCAAAGAACAGTTAGAAAAACAGAAAAAAAGGACAAACCAGGCTACAGTAATACACACAATGGTAAACACCCTCATGCTTCACAGGAAAAAATGAAAGATCACATGTCCAGCATACACACACGCACACACACACACAAATATTTTCAAATACGCTGGTGTCATTTTTAACTCATTATTCATCAAAGAGTGGTCCGAGATAAAGGATGTCATGAAAATGCCCCAACTTCAATATAATAAGGCTGCAAGTTGTATTTACAGCGGTCAGGTCTACAGACAGGCTGATGTTAGTGGATGTAAAATCCTACAATCCATGTACATTCTGCTTATACTACTCATCAAGCTGAACTGAAGGAGGGATACAGGGACTCATTTACATCAAGCAATGCACAGAAAAAGGTACACTGGCATCTCGTGATTTTCTCCTTCACTTTTCCTATTCAACATTGATGTTTCTCTCAAGACGAGACAGTCGGTTGTGGACGTACCACTCTTGCATAAATGATGGTTAAAAACAATACCAGGCAAATAGAGACATTTAAATAATTTACGATGTATTTACACAATAATCCATCTTATTTTCCAGCAGTGTCATTTTATCTTCTCAGCGTGGGAGTGCATCCTCTAGTCACCCATCTTTACTTTCGATGTCTGAGGGAGAAAAAAGAAAACAGTTGTTACAAATATAAATAAAGAAACATCCACATAATATAGATCCAGTTAGACTTTGCAGCAATGGACAATAACAAAAGCCTATAGCTGCAAACAAAAGCCGTGGATAGCTTCCTCTGCTAAGGAGAAGAAGACCGATAATGAAGGCGTAGTAAAAGAAGCAGCCGCCTGACTCATTCACCTGCAGAATGGCTACAATGACACCAAACAGGCCAATTGCACTGCCAAAGATTTCCACAATGAGGATCTTCACAAAGAGGCTGCCGTTCTGGGCGTCTGCCAGCGCTGCTCCGCTGCCCACGATGCCGACACAGATGCCACAGAAGAGGTTGGAGAAGCCCACAGTCAGACCAGCTCCGAACATAGAGTAACCTGGTGGGACGCAAATCAATTGAGTCAGAAACCTTTGTGAGAAAGAAAGAATAAGTACTTTATAGATAGAATAGAATAGAATATAATCATTTATTGTCATTATACAGGTACAATGAGATGAGTAGAGGTCAATCAAAAATACAAAAACCAACAAGAGACGTACACACTCCTGAGTGTGTACATCTCTTTCCTCAATTTCTTAACAATGTTCTCCATAAGCATTAGCATTAGCATTGGCTATTCCGGTGGTCTACACACAAACATTCAAACACATTTATGGCATCCTTGGGTTTATGAAAGGGGCTATATAAATGTAAGTGTATACAACAAACACACAACTATAAATAAATCCCGCAATATTTCATAGCATAGTTTCTTATTTTTCATTAAAAAATATAAGTTGTTCATAATTAACATACTGTATATACTTCTCTCAATGACATCCCTGTCAGGTTTGGAAAAATAGTTGATTTAATTGAATTTAAAAGAAACTTGTTCTGATGTCTTCAAATGTCTTGAAGGGCAATTTTTATTAAAAAAGTAGTACTACCGTATTTTTAAGCCTAACATTTTATGAGTGAAAATGCATTTGGGGTCTATAGGATTTTTAAAGATTCTGCCAAAACCCAACATTTTTTGAGAGGATTTTTCATTTATGTGTTGCTTTCAGTAGCTTTAGTTCTGTTTTCTTACCAGCCTGGTAGTTCCTTGCCCCAATGGTCTCAGGAGTTGTTCCGCTGAAGCTCTATAAGATGAAAGAGATTTCTTTTTAGAGCCATAGAGAAAACATCCTCGCACTGTTGTTGAAATTATATTAAACTTCTTAATGTCCCATATGTATAATTATTTAATTCAGGCTGTGCCGTTTCATGTACAGTGCTCCTGTCTCAAATACCCTCTAGAGGCAAAATAGATACATTCACATTGTTCTTCATCAGGAACAAGAAAAACATTTAATGCTTACCTCAGCCATGTTGCTGATTACAATTGCCATGATGATCCCATAGATTGCTACAGCTTCACAGAAGATGATGCTAGAGGGAGAAATACAAAAATAAACAAAGAGTGAGAAATAATTCATTTTTTTAGATTGCAAATGGTTCTCGCAAGTAACCATAAAATGACATCATTTACTGGCTAGCCTGAAAGTCACTTATCGATGCTAGTCACAGTTTTGCGATGGCCAATAAAAGAATGCAGTGTTTTCCTGATGTTGGTTTTACTTAAAGTGTTATTAGCACAGTGCAATTATGTAGCTCCCCTACACTTGTTCAAAGCTGCACTTCTAATTTGAGAAGTTACAGATATAAAAACATCAGACTGTATATTTAAGCTCTTGATTCAGAATGCACTGGGTCATTTTACGCTGCTTATCCATTAGGTATCAAAAAGGAAAGAAGGCTGGAAGGAGTGTTTTTTGTTCTTGAATGAACCTACCTGACCAAATTCTTGGTTTTAATTCGTGGAGCCTTGACACCACCACCAATGATGCTTGAGCCGGTGATGTAGATCCCCCTTGAAAACAAACACAATAATCAGATAATAATCACACATACAACATGACAGAAAACCAGTGTGAAAATGACAACAATTGGCAGATCCAAAAATAAAAATTATGTATAAAAGTCAGACTGAGGAAAATGTTAGCTCTACTGGTCCCACAACATTGGCTTGAATGTGCCCTTATCTGCAGCTGTACAGCCAGTTCT